AGCACAGCACCACAGGGGACCCCAACTGCCACTGGGAAGGGACTGATGGGTGCTGGGGTAGAAACATGCTGTACCTGATGCTGCCAGAGTGGTCAGAGCACGGGTCCCACAGCGGGCAGGGCAGGGGAATGTCCCACAGTGGGCACAGGATTGTCCCACAGAGGGCAGGGGTCCCACAGCGGGCAAGGGACAATCCCACAGCAGAGCAGGGGTCCCACAGCAGGGCAGGGGTCCCTCAGGGAGCAGGGGAATGTCCCACAATGGGCAGGGGAATGTCCCACAATGGGCAGGGGTCCCACAGCGGACAGGGCAGGGGTGGGTCCCCCAGCAGAGCCCCCTCCCCACAAGGTGCCACAGGTAAGCTCCATCCCCAGCCCACGCCTCCCCCTGCAGCCCCCTCACCTTGAGCTTCCTCCGGGCGTTGAACTTTTTCAAGCACTCCACCGTCTCCTGCCTGTGCATCATGGAGGCCACGGTGGAACGTTGCTGYGGGGGACAGTGGGGTCAGCGCCAGGTGCCAGCGGGTCCTGGCCCAGGTGACACCACGCACGGGGGGACATGTGGCACTTACGCAGACCCACGGGTGCTTGAGGGCCTCGTGGGCTGTGATGCGCTTGGCAGGGTTGATGGTCAGCATCTGATTGATGAGGTTTTTCGCTTCGGGGGTGACCGTGTCCCACTCGGGCGAAGGGAACTGGGAGGGCACAGGGACACGGGGGTGACAGCTGTGGAGGGGCAGCCCTGTGGTGGCACCTGTGTCACTCCACAGCTCTGCCTATCCCCGACGATCACCAGAGACATGGCCCAAAGCCACCCCCAGGCTCTGCCTGCTGCAGATGAGCTGTGACATCCCTCAGTAGGTTCCAGCGCGGGGCACGGGGGGCTGGCACCGCGCACTTACATCGTATGCCCCGGCCTTGATTTGTTGGTAGAGTTTGTGCTGGTCCTCGTCCCAGAACGGCGGGTAGCCCACCAGCAGGATGTACAGGATGACCCCTGYGCCAGGGAGAGTGGGGTTAGGGGGGTACAGGGACCCCAAGACACCCCTGGCTCCCTCYGGCCCTGTGGTGTCCCCGTGACACAGCAGTCATCCCCAGCACRGCCTGTCCCCCTGCTGCCACGATGGCACCCATGGGGGACAGTGTGGCACTGCTGGGGCACATGGCATGGGATGGCTCTGGATGGGGTCAGGGCTGGAATGGGAATGGGAACTGGGATGGGACTGACATGGAAATGGGGTGGGAAAG